CCCGAGTAGCTGGGAGTACAGGCGCCCGCCACCTCGCCCGGCTAATTTTTTTTGTATTTTAGTAGAGACGGGGTTTCACCGTGTTAGCCAGGATGGTCTCAATCTCCTGACCTCGTGATCCGCCCGTCTCGGCCTCCCAAAGTGCTGGGATTACAGGCTTGCGCCACCGCGCCCGGCCCCAATGCCCTTTTTCTTACTCCCACAGCCAGGCTCAGAATTCACTTTTCATCCTTCTAAGACAGCCAGGGGACCATTCGCTACTTTGTCCTCTCCCCTCCCCTCCGGCCCAGGCTTCTGGCAGCAGGCCCCACGCAGGGCAGACTTCAGGAAGGACTTCCCGCCCTGGTTCGGCACGAGAGCTTTATCGCTCGGGCCAGGCGGAGGCCGGGCGGCCCCGTGGCTTCCGGAGGCGCCCGGGCGGGATGAGCTCACTGCGAGTTGGCCAGGATTTCATCAGCTTCCTCCTGAGGACTTGCCCCCGCTCCTTTCCCGGTGCGGCCGCGCGGGCGAATCCGCCGGGCGCCTGCTGCCCCCGAGCGGCAGAAGGCGGAAGCACAGGCGCCGCGCAAAAAGCCCACCTTTGCATCGACGATGTCGCTACCTCAGGAAGCCTGCAAATCCAAACCCAATTCATCCTCACAACCACCAGGGGAGATGGAATATACATACATCTATATCTATATCTATATCTATATCTATATCTATATCTATATCTATATCTATATCTATATCTATATCTATATCTCTATCTCTATCTATCTATCTATCTATCTATCGAAACGGAGTCTCGCCCTGTCGCTCAGGCTGGAGTGCAGTGGTGGGATCTCGGCTCACTGCAACCTCCGCCTCCCGGGTTCAAGCCATTCTCCTGCCTCAGCCTCCTGAGTAGCTGGGACTACAGCCGCCCGCCACCATGCCCGGCTAATTTTTGTATTTGTGGTAGAGACAGGGTTTCACCATGTTGGCCAGGATGGTGTCGATCTCTTGACCTTGTGATCCACCCGCCTCGGCCTCCCGAAGTGCTGAGATTATAGGCGTGAGCCACCATGCCTGGCCCCATTTATTCTTATATCCACTCACTCAGCAATTACAACTGAGTGTCTCCCCTGTGCCAGGCACTGGTGCAGTTGTAGGCATGGGGATGCAGCTGTGAGCAAAACGGATACAAATCCTGCCTTCATGGGAGGGACACTCTGGTCTGCGGCAGATAGACATTCAAGAAATAGTTACAATACAAAGTGAAACTTCAAGTAGAAAAAGGAAGCAGGGAAGGGCCGTCAGGAGTGTTGAGGGATGATGTCTTTGAAAAAGTGCTATTTGCAGCTGGGCACGGTGGCTCACATCTGTAATTCCAGCACTTTGGGAGGCCGATGCAGGAGGATCATTTGCGGCCAGGAGTTTGAGGCCAGCCTGGCCAATATGGTGAAACCCCATCTCTACCAAAAATACAAAAAGTAGCTGGGTGTGGTGGTGCATGCCTGTAATTCCAGCTACTCGGGAGGCTGAGGAAGGAGAAAGGCTTGAACCTGGAAGGTGGAGGTTGCAGTGAGCCAAGATCATGCCATTGCACTCCAACCTAGGCAACAGAATGAGACACTGTCAAGGAAGGAAGGAAGGAAGGAAAGGAAGGAAGGAAGGAAGGAAAGGAAAGGAAGGAAGGAAGGAATGAAGGAAGGAAGGAGAGAAGGAAGAAAGGAAAGGAAGGAAGGAAGAAAGGAAAGGAAGGAAGGAAGGGAGGGAAAGAAAGAGAGGAAAGAAAGAAAAAGAGAGAGAAAGAGGGAAAGGGAAAGGAAAAGGGAAAGGGAAAGGAAAGGAAAAGAAAAGAGAAAGAAAGAAGAAAGAGTGAGCTGGTGGGATTGGCTGAAGTAGTGGATGTGGATGTCAGGGACAGAGAGGAGTTTAGGGGGGCAGCCGGAAGGATGAAGGATCTGAGAGACCAATTGTCATCATCATCATCATCATCATCATCATGGCAGCTCTGTCAGTTCACCTACTGTGTGCTAGGCTCTGTGCCAATTCAGAGCTTTACATGCATGACCTGGTTACATCCTTATGACCATCCATAGATCCAGGAAGTGGAGATGAGAGCTGTAGTAGGATTCAAGATATATATATATATCTATATATATATATAGATATAGTTTGTTTGTTTGAGACAGAGTCTTGCTCTGTCGCCCAGGCTGGAGTACAGTGGCATGATCTCAGCTCAGTGCAACCTCTGCCTCCTGAGTTCAAGCAATTCTCCTGCCTCAGCCTCTTGAGTACTGGGATTACAGGCACACACCACCAAGCCCCACTAATTTTTGTATTTTTAGTAGAGATGGGGTTTCACCATGTTGGTCAGGCTGGTCTCAAACTCCTGACCTCATGATCCACCCACCTTGGCCTCCCAAAGTGCTGGGATTACAGGCCTGAGCCACCGCGCCTGGACTTTTTTTTTTTTTTTTTTTTTGACAGGGTCTCACTCTGTCACCTAGTCTAGAGTGCAGTGGTGTGAACATGGCTCACTGCAGCCTCCACCTCCCAGACCTAAGCAATCCTCCCACCTCAGCCTCCCTCCTGAATAGCTGGGACTACCTTCTACCACCATGGCCAGTTAATTTTATATTATTTTGTAGAGATGAGGTCTCCCTATGGTGCCCAGGCTGGTCTATAACTCCTGGGCTCAGGTGATCCTCCTGCCTCCATCCCCTAAAGTGCTGGGATTATATGCATGAGACACTATACATGGCCTTATTTTTTTTAAGACAGTGTCTTGCTCTGTTGCCCAAGCTGGGGCAGTCATGTCATCACAGCTCACTGTAGTCTCAACCTCCTGGGCTCGAGTGATCCTCCCACCTCAGCCTCCTGAGTAGATGGGACCACAGGTGTGTGCCACCATGCCCTGCTAATTTTTTCTTTCTTTTTTTTTGAGACGGAGTCTTGCTCTGTCGCCCAGCCTGGAGTGCAGTGGCGCGATCTTGGCTCACTACAAGCTCTGCCTCTCGGGTTCATGCCATTCTCCTGCCTCAGCTTCCCGAGTAGTTGGGACTACAGGCACCCGCCACCACGCCCAGCTAATTTTGTTTTTGTATTTTTAGTAGAGACAGGGTTTCACTGCATTAGCCAGGATGGTCTCGATCTCCTGACCTCGTGATCCGCCCTCCTCAGCCTCCCAAAGTGCTGGGATTACAGGCGTGAGCCACCGCACCCAGCCTAATTTTTGTATTTTTAGTAGAGACAGTGTCTCACCATATCACTCAGGCTGGTCTCGAATTCCTAGCCGTAAGTGATCAGCCTTCCAGAGTGCTAGGATTACAGGCGTGGGCTACCACTCCAGGCCTTTTTAAAAAATTTTTTTAAATTTTATTTTATTATTCCACCGCGCCCGGCCTATTTTATTATTATATTTTAGAGAGGGGGTCTTACTATGTTGCCCAGGTGTCCAACTTCTGGGCTCAAAGGATCCTCCTTCCCCAGCCTCCCAAGTACCTGGGAGCACAGGTGCACACCATCACGCCTGGCTAATTTTAAATTTTTTTGTAGAGATGGGGGGTCTCATTATGTTACCTGGTCTGGTCTCGAATTCCTGGCCTCAAGCGATCTTCTGGCCTCAGCCTCCCGAAGTGCTGGGACTACAGGCCTGAACCGCCTCGCCTGGTCTCTACCTATTCCTTCGTTTAGCTGTTTGTTGTCTGTCTTCTGGAGAAAGTGAGCTCCATGGCGGCAGGGACATTCTAATTCCCATTTCACAGATCGGGAAACTAGAAGGAGGCCCCGCACAAAGTAGGTTCTCATGGTTTCAGGTTTGTTGAATTTTTTTTTTTTTTTTTTTTTTTTTTGTTTTGTTTTGTTTTTTGAGACGGAGTCTCGCTTTGTCGCCCAGGCTGGAGTGCAGTGGCGCGATCTCGGCTCACTGCAAGCTCCGCCTCCTGGGTTTACGCCATTCTCCTGCCTCAGCCTCCTGAGTAGCTGGGACTACAGGCGCCCGCCACCGCGCCCGGCTAATTTTTTGTATTTTTAGTAGAGACGGGGTTTCACCGTGGTCTCGATCTCCTGACCTTGTGATCCGCCCGCCTCGGCCACCCAAAGTGCTGGGATTACAGGCGTGAGCCACCGCGCCCGGCCAGGTTTGTTGAATTAATATGCATGCCCGTTTGTCTCAAGCGGCGGGGAGTGCGCCGCACCGCCCCCTGGTGGAGAGTGGGAAACGTGTCCGCCGGTGTGATTATCAAATTTCCTGGGAGACCTTCAAGTCCGCCCTTAGCCAGGTCGTACTAATGGTAGCATTTAACTCCATTCCACAAATAAACACAAAGTATTTTTTATGATTATTGTTGAACTTGTAAAATTTATTTTTTGATTTATTGAGACCATTGTTTAAGCTGTAGCATAAGTTACATACTTCTCTATTCTCTAAAGCTCCCAAATCCTTTTTTTTTTTTTTTAGAAACAAGGTCTCCCTCGTTGCTCAGGCTGGCGTGATCAGAGTTCATTGCAGCCTTGAACTCCTGAAGCTCTCAAACTCTTTTTTCTTTTTCTTTTTTTTTTTTTTTTGAGACGGAGTCTCGCTTTGTCACCCAGGCTGGAGTACAGTGGTGTGATCTCGGCTCACTGCAACCTCCGCCTCCCAAGTTCAATTCTCTGCCTCAGCCTCCTGAGTAGTTGGGATGACAGGCCCCCACCACCATGCCCGGCTAATTTTTTTGTATTTTTACTAGAGACGGGTTTCACCATCTTGGCCAGGGTGGTCTTGAACTCTTGACCTCGTGATCCATCCGCTTCGGCCTCCCAATGTGCTGGGATTACATGCGTGAGCCACCACACTTGGCCCTTTTTTCTTTTTTTTTTTTTTTTTCCTGAGACAGAGTCTGGCTCTGTCCCCCAGGCTGGAGTGCGATCTCTGCTCCCTGCAACGTCTGCCTCCCGGTTCCAGCAATTCTCCTGCCTCAGCCTCCCGAGTAGCTGGGATTACAGGCGCATGCCACCAGCCCGGCTATTTTTTTTTTTTTTTTTTTTTAAAGGCTTGTTTTATTTTCATGGCTGATCTATGTAATCACGGAGGCCAGTATGTACAGACAAAGGGGGAGCTTTTATTTCTTGGTCTCTTCCTCCTTGGACAAAGTCTTGATAATCTCCTCCTTCTTGGCCTGGAGGCGCTCTTCACAGCGCTTGCGTGCTTCCTTGGTCTTAGACCTGCGGGCCTCAGCCTGGTCAGCCAGGAGCTTCTTGCGGGCGTTGTCTGCCTTCAGCTTGTGGATGTGTTCCATGAGAATACGCTTGTTTTTGAACACATTCCCCTTCACCTTCAGGTACAGGCTGTGATACATGTGGCGATCAATCTTCTTAGACTCATGGTATCTTCTGAGCAGCAGGCGCAGAATCCTCATTCTCCTCATCCACGTGACCTTCTCTGGCATTCGGCCATTGGCTGTACCCTTCCGCTTACCTATGCCCATATGCCTCCCCTTCCGGCGGGCCAAGGTATTTTTCCGGCATCGTGCCCGGGAATGGACCGTCACAGGCTTGCGGATGATCAGCCCATCTTTGATCAGCTTTCGGATCTGCTGAGGAGAGTTGGCATTGGTGATTTCATTAGTCTCACTGGGGCCTAACCAGACCTTTTTTTTTTTTTTCTTTTTTTTTTTGAGACGGAGTCTCGTTCTGTCGCCCAGGCTGAAGTGCAGTGGCCGGATCTCAGTTCACTGCAAGCTCCGCCTCCCGGGTTCCCGCCATTCTCCTGCCTCAGCCTCCTGAGTAGCTGGGACTACAGGCGCCCGCCACCTCGCCCGGCCAGTTTTTTTTGTATTTTTTAGTAGAGACGGGGTTTCACCGTGTTAGCAAGGATGGTCTCGATCTCCTGACCTCATGATCCGTCCTCCTCGGCCTCCCAAAGTGCTGGGATTACAGGCATGAGCCACTGCGCCCGGCCTTTTTTTTTTTTTTTTTTTAATAGAGATGGGGATGGGAGGGGTCTCACTCTTATGCCCCAGGCTGGTCACCAACTTCTGGGCTCAAGTGATCTACCCTCCTTGTCCTCCCAAAGTTCTGGGATTACAGGAGTCAGCCACCGCGCCCGGCCCCTCCCAAACTCTTAAGTGCAGAACTCCATGCAACCAGCACCTAGGTGGAGAAACAGAAAGTTCTTAGCCCCATTTCCTGATCCTGCTTACCCTAATCATCCTCAGGATAATCATTATCCTGAATTCTAACACCAGAGATTAGTTTTGCTTGTTCTAGAATTTCATATAAATGGACCATGAAATACGTTCTCTTTGGTGTCTGTATGACTTTTGTTATGCAGCCTAATGTTTGCAAGATTCATTCATGTTCTTGTTTACTTTTACTTTTTTTTCTTTCTTTCTTCCCCTCATCCCCCACCCCTGCTTCTCCACAGAGCCTGGCTCTGTTGCCCAGGCTGGAGTGGCAGTGGTGCGATCTTGGCTCCTTGCAACCTCTGCCTCCCGAGTTCAAGTGATTCTTGAGACCCAGCCTCCCGAGTAGCTGGGATTACAGCCCCAATGCCACCAGGCCCGGCTAATTTTTGTATTTTTAGTAGAGACGGGGTTTCACCATGTTGGCCAGCCTGGTCTCAAATTCCCTACCTTAGGTGACCCACCTGCCTCAGCTGCCCAAAGTGCTGGGATTACAGGCGTGAGCCACTGTGCCCAGCCATGACTGACCTCCCTCCCTCCCTCCCTCCTTCCTTCCTTCCTTCCTTCCTTCCTTCCTTCCTTCCTTCCTTCCTTCCTTCCTTCCTTCTTTCCTTTCAAGACAGGGGTCTCACTTTGTTGTTGCCCAGTCTGGCGTTGAACTTCTGGCCTCTAGTGATCCTCCCACCTTGGCCTCCCCAGTAGTGGTGCACCACTGCTCCCTGCTGATTGGTCACTTTCACTGTTGCAGAGTATTTCACTGTATAAAGGCTGGATCATAATTCACTGCAATCTTGACCTCCTGGGCTCAAGCAATCCTTCTGCCTCAGCCTCCTGAGTAGCTAGGACCATGTGCCACCATGTCTGGCTAATTTTATTTTGTTTTATTATTATTACTTTTTAACATATGCTGACTTTAGTTATTTATTTACTTTTTTTTCTTTTTTTTGAGACGGAGTCTCACTCTGTCGCCCAGGCTAGAATGCAGTGGTGCGATCTCGGCTCACTGCAACCTCTGCCTCCTGAGTTCAAGCGATTCTCCTGCCTCAGCCTCCTGAGTAGCTGGGATCACAGGCATGCACCACCACGCCTGGCTAATTTTTGTTTGTTTGTTTTTTGTTTTTTAATTTTGAGCCAGAATCTCACTCTGTCGCCGAGGCTGGAGTGCAGTGGCATTGTGTTGGTTCACTGCAACCTCCGCCTCCTGGGTTCAAGCAATTCTTCTGCCTCAGCCTCCTGAGTAGCTGGGACTACAGGCATCCAACCACCGTGGCAGGCTAGTTTTTTTTTTTTTTTTTTTTCCTCTTGAGACGGAGTCTCGCTCTGTCACCCAGGCTGGAGTGCAGTGGTGCGATCTCAGCTCACTGAAATCTCCACCTCCTGGTTCACACAATTCTCCTGCTTCAGCATCCCTAGTAGCTGGAACTACAAGTGCCTGCCACCACACCCAGCTAATTTTTTTTTACATTTTTAGTAGAGACGGGGTTTCACCATGTTGGCCAGGCTGGTCATGAACTCCTGACCTCAGGTGATTAACCCACCTTGGCCTCCCAAAGTGCTGGGATTACAGGTGTGAGCCACCGCACCCGGCCATGCCCGATTAATTTTTGTGTGTGTGTGTGTGTGTACTTACTTATTTTTTTGAGACAGGGTGTCGCTCTGTCACCCAGGCTAAAGTGCAGTGGCAGGATCTCAACTCACTGCAACCTCTGCCTGTCAGGGTCAAGCGATTCTTCTGCCTCAGCCTCCCGAGTAGCTGGGACTACAGGCATGCACTGACACTCTTGGATAATTTTTTTTTTTTTTTTTTTTTGAGATGGAGTCTTGTTCTGTCCCCCTGGCTGGAGTGCAATGATGTGATCTCAGCTCACTGAAGCCTCTGCCTCCTGGGTTCAAATGATTCTCCTGCCTCAGCCTCCCAAGTAGCTGGGTTTACAGGCGCACACCACCACGGCTGGCTAATTTATTTTTTTGTGTGTGTAGTTTTAGTAGAGACAGGATTTCGCCATGTTGGCCAGGCTGGTCTTGAATTCCTGACCTCAGGTGATCCTCCTGCCTTGGCCTCCCAAAGTCCTGGGATTACAGGCATGAGCCATGATGCCTGGCCGAGGCTGAGTCTTTATCTTGGGGACTGGCCTGGGCACTGGAAGATGTTCAGGAGCAGCCCTGGCCTCTGCCCACTAGATGGCAAGAGGACCCTCTCCTGTGACAACCAGAAATGTTCCTAGTCATTGTAAAACGTCCTTTAGGGGGCAAAATTACCTCCATGGAGAACCACTGGCTAAGAACATGGAGTGTGAGGATGCACAAAAGAGAGTGATGTGGCTGGAGAGGGCAGCAGCGGTGACACACACAATGCTCAGGCTCCATCAAGTCAGCTCTGCCTAGGGTGCTCTGGGCAGCCTCTTTCTGTCGGAACAGTTGCCATGGTTTGAATGTGTCTGTCGAAGTTCACGTGTTGAAAACAATCAGCAGGGCATAGTGGCTCACGCCTGTAATCCCAGCACTTTGGGAGGCCGAGGCGGGTGGATCACGAGGTCAGGAGTTCAAGACAAGCCTGGTCAAAATGGTGAAACCCTGTCTCTCCTAAAAATACAAAAAAACTAGCCAGGCATGGTGGCACATGCCTGTAATCCCAGCTACTCGGGAGGCTGAGGCAGAGAATTGCTTCAACCTGGGAGGCAGAGATTGCAGTGAGCCGAGATTGTGCCATTGCACTCTGGCCTGGGCAAAAAGAGCAAAAGCTGTCTCAAAAAAAAAGAGAAAAGAAAAAGAAAAGAAAAAAAATACACACACACACACACACACACACACACACACAGAGGTGGGGGTCTCACTATGTTGGCCAGGCTGGTCGCGAGCTAGCTCCTGGCCTTAAATGATCCTCCCACTTATGCCTCCCGAAGTATTGGAATTACAGGCATGAGCCACTGTATTTGGCCTACTTTTAAATTTTTTTGGTGGAGACTGGGTCTCACTATGTTGCCCAGGCTGGTCTTGAATTCCTGAGCTAAAGTGATCTGCCCACCTTGGCCTCCCAAAGTTCTGGGATTACAGGCACAAGTCACTGCACCGGCCTGCAAGTGAATTTTGTTACATGCATAGATTGCTATTTGGACAATTATAAGAGGATTAAGTTTCATTGGTATCTCTGAAAGGCTGTAAACAGTAGCCATATAAGTGGTAAGCAATTACCAGGTACTTCCACTTTCCATCTCTTAAATCACAAAATAAAATTACTAGCACCGCAGGGAATCTGGTCTGTTCACTTATAACGGTCATTCACCTTCTCTGAGGGTATTCTATAGCATTCATCATCATCTGTCACAATAGCTTTTTTATGTATTTATGTATTTATTCTGAGACAGAGTTTCGATTTTGTTGCCCAGGCTGGAGTGCAATGGCGCAACCTTGGCCCACTGCAACCTCCATTTCCCAGGTTCAAGTGATTCTCCTGCCTCAGCCTTCCAAGGAGCAAGGGTTACAGGCGTGAGCCTCAGTGCCTGGTTGGCTTGTCACAATAGCTTTATTATGTCTAAAATTTTGGTTAATGCCGTAAACTCCTGGACTTTGCAGCTATTCAGCTATTGTTACTTTGAGTATCTTGTAGTTTTGGGAATGCACCCAGCTCATTCACCACAGGGCCTTTGCATAGGTTGTATCCTTGGGCCTGCTCAGGCAGCCTCTCACCCTTGGGCCTCTCCTGCCTCTCTTGCCAGGCATCTCCCACAGGTGCTGCTATTTCCCATTTACTTGTGTCTTCCCTCAGGAGGACAAGGATGGGGTCAGCTTTGTTCATCATCTCAGTTCCCCCTCCAACCTTTCCCCCCCAGTACACAGCCTGGCAGTCAATGCTGATTTGGGAGAATGAACGACTGATTCTATCAGTTGAACGTTTATTTTATTTTATATTTTATGATTTTATTTATTTATTTATTTTCGATACAGAGTCTCACTCTGTCGCCCAGGCTGGAGTGCAGTGGTGCGATCTTGCCTCACTGCAACCTCTGCCTCCCCGGTTCAAGCAATTCTCTGTCTTAGCCTCCCAAGGAGCTGGGATTACAGGCATCTGCCGCTACGTCCAGCTAATTTTTGTATTTTTAGTAGAGACGGGTTTCACTATGTTAGCCAGGCTGGTCTCGAACTCCTGACCTTGTGATCCACCCGCCTCAGCCTCCCAAAGTGCTGGGATTACAGGCGTGAGCCACTGTGCCCAGCCAGTTATTTTATTTTATTTAGTTTTTTGAGACGGAGTCTTGCTTTGTCGCCCAGGCTGGAGTGCAATGGCACGATCTCAGCTCACTGCAACCTCTGCTTGCCGGGTTTAAGCGATTCTCCTGCTTCAGCCTGTAGGTGGGATTACAGGCATTACAGGTGCCTGCCACCATGCCTGGCTAATTTTTGTATTTTTTAGTAGAGACAGGGTTTCACCACGTTGGTCAGGCTGGTCTCAAACTCCTGACCTCAGGTGA